AAATTGTAAAAATGTAAAGTTTTCTGTTAAGTGTTTGGGTTAGGTGATAGTATTTAGAACTAGCTGTGTATAAAATCAATAGAAGTCTACGCAGTGTCCCCATTTAGATAGATGAGGAAGTGTGTGTGTGTGTTATTCCTATTATATTTATTATATTTATCCAGTGATTATATATGAGTTATAAGATTATGATTCCAGTGTTACTGCTTACACCATTTTTAGGGTTGTCTTTTGACAAAAATGTCTTTTACATTTTGTCAGTACTTTGTTATTTTTATTAATTTCGGTCCATTTTACACTCATTTAAGTGGCATATAATTTTTGTTGACAAAATAAAATTTTAGTTGACAATAATATGTAAAAAATAGGAAAATTTTGAAACGTTAACAGATCAAATTTTAACCACATTTTCAAATGTATAAACAGCGATTAATCATTAAAAATATTTATAAATGTATAAACATTGATTAATTATAAAACATGTTTGTAAATTATTTTAATTAATAAAAATATGTATAAATTATTTACATTTATAATTTATAGAAGATTTATCAACATAAAATATAACTTGAAAAAAAGCTGAGATTGTAATAAGAGCACATAAACTTTTATTATCTGTTGTTTAGAGGCTAATGTGAATTTAACATACTATTGTTGGATTATTTGCATGAACATTTTCTAAAATTTTCTTCTGAAATTATTGGTAATATATTGTCTTGCATTGCTAGACATTGATCAGGAGTCTGATATGAAGCGGAGCCACTTATTATACGGCTGCTTAGTGAATTAATAAATAAAAATGGACATAAACGATTGATTTGAGTCTAAATTATTTTATTATGTGAGAAGAAAGAAAGTGGAGTGATACGAGAGATGTGAAACTAGCACAGTGATGAAGGAAATCCAATGAAGTACAACTGTATACGATCACAGACCAGCGTTTCTAGCGTCTGTTATCAGTGATTGGAGTGTAATGGCATACGGCTGCGCTGAAGCCTGTGGCTGGATTTTAGCTCTGGTCCTGGTGCGAGTCGCTGCGCCTGGGGAAACGCTCCTGATAAATCGTCTGATTCCGCCTCCTGGGATCGGAGTATTTTTGTAGCACCATCAATAGAGACGGAGCCCGCAGGGGGTTCACACACAGCACTGCTAACAGTGAAAAAGAAATGAGACATAGATCATAGCAGGACAAAACCAGCCTGGATGCACAGAACAGAGAGAGAAACACAAATGAGCGAGAGATGTGAATCGCCTCGGCCGCCGCAGCCCTTATTTCAGCGTTGCCATGGCGACTGTACATCGAGAGATGGCCGCCGACCGATCAATGTGTGTGCAAGATCCAAAATTACTGATCCTTAAATAATAATTTTTCCAGATGGACTGGAGTGGTGTGGATTATTGTGATGTTTTTATCAGCTGTTTGGACTCTCATTCTGACGGCACCCATTCACTTCAGAGCATCCATTGCTGAGACACTGATGCAATGCTACATTTCTCCAAATCTGATGAAGAAACAAACTCATCCTAATCTTTGGCAGCAAATAAACAAGATACCTTGGATACATTGGTATATTTGATTGTGCTTTCAGGATTATATTTTCTAGATATATCCACCCGTAAACCTGTATATGAGGAATGAGTCTATATGATATTGTGACTGTATTTCATTTGACTGAGGCTGCAGGTTTGAGCTCAAACCTCACACGAAACAGCAGTTTCGAGCCGTTCAGTTGCTCTTTCGTCTATGACAGTATTAGAGCCTGATGATCAATAGACGCATCAATAAACACAGAGATCATATTAGTATGAGCACTGACCTTCTTCACTGCAATTAAAATGCATTATCCTCTTGAGTGAATGTAAATGACAAACTAAATATGAATGTGAAGAGCGTGACGCAAATCTGATTTACTAACGTGAACCAATCAGCAGATGCAACAGTCGGAGAGTCATTTCATTATATAACAAGTTATATAATATTGTAAAACATGCTGATTGCAAGTAGTGTGTTTGTGTGTTTGGCTATGAGAAAACTTCTTTTTGTTGTGACCTTAGACTAAGCCAGTGCTGAAGCAGGAGTTTTCGGCTGTACTCTCCTCTCACCTCATTCTTGACCGTTACCCGGCGTGTGTTTCTCTGTAATGCCATCAGACTGAATCAGGTCTCTCTGTCACTAATTCTCCTGATGCCCCGTCTGTCTCTCTGCAGGTTCAGCTGACGTTACAGGAGACTGCCCCGCCCCTTTCATCTTGTCCGTTCCTCTGTCGTTGCCATGGCGCTGTCACTCTGGTTACTGTGGATGTGTCCTGTGTTGCTTAGCAACATCGCTCCCTCTGAACAAGGTGAGTTCTGCATCCTAAAACACCTGCCGTTCTGTCATGACCCAGACTCCGCCCCCTCAGAGCCCGGAGCAATTCTATTGGCTGAAAGAGCGTTTGATGTGTTTTATTCGGTGCATAAGTAAAAATCCTTCAATATCATGGGTTTAAACATATGAATATGACAAACATCACTATTTTATATTTTGAATACAACTTTTCAAGGGCTTAGCTTCAGTCGCTCTAATTTATTCCTCTGTAGATGCACCTGTTGAATATTAATAAATCACTGATTCTTGAGACGTGAGGCAGAATACAATATTATATATTGTATATAATTTATATGGAGCTTTATATAGATTACTATATATATTCAGATAGATAGAAAGATAGACATATATTCAGATAGATTAATTACCAGATGTGAGCTAAATCTGACAAAGCCTGCTTTTGAGGATGCCCTCATTTGTAAAAACAGTATAAAAATATATAATTAAATTGTAAAAATGTAAAGTTTTCTGTTAAGTGTTTGGGTTAGGTGATAGTATTTAGAACTAGCTGTGTATAAAATCAATAGAAGTCTACGCAGTGTCCCCATTTAGATAGATGAGGAAGTGTGTGTGTGTGTTATTCCTATTATATTTATTATATTTATCCAGTGATTATATATGAGTTATAAGATTATGATTCCAGTGTTACTGCTTACACCATTTTTAGGGTTGTCTTTTGACAAAAATGTCTTTTACATTTTGTCAGTACTTTGTTATTTTTATTAATTTCGGTCCATTTTACACTCATTTAAGTGGCATATAATTTTTGTTGACAAAATAAAATTTTAGTTGACAATAATATGTAAAAAATAGGAAAATTTTGAAACGTTAACAGATCAAATTTTAACCACATTTTCAAATGTATAAACAGCGATTAATCATTAAAAATATTTATAAATGTATAAACATTGATTAATTATAAAACATGTTTGTAAATTATTTTAATTAATAAAAATATGTATAAATTATTTACATTTATAATTTATAGAAGATTTATCAACATAAAATATAACTTGAAAAAAAGCTGAGATTGTAATAAGAGCACATAAACTTTTATTATCTGTTGTTTAGAGGCTAATGTGAATTTAACATACTATTGTTGGATTATTTGCATGAACATTTTCTAAAATTTTCTTCTGAAATTATTGGTAATATATTGTCTTGCATTGCTAGACATTGATCAGGAGTCTGATATGAAGCGGAGCCACTTATTATACGGCTGCTTAGTGAATTAATAAATAAAAATGGACATAAACGATTGATTTGAGTCTAAATTATTTTATTATGTGAGAAGAAAGAAAGTGGAGTGATACGAGAGATGTGAAACTAGCACAGTGATGAAGGAAATCCAATGAAGTACAACTGTATACGATCACAGACCAGCGTTTCTAGCGTCTGTTATCAGTGATTGGAGTGTAATGGCATACGGCTGCGCTGAAGCCTGTGGCTGGATTTTAGCTCTGGTCCTGGTGCGAGTCGCTGCGCCTGGGGAAACGCTCCTGATAAATCGTCTGATTCCGCCTCCTGGGATCGGAGTATTTTTGTAGCACCATCAATAGAGACGGAGCCCGCAGGGGGTTCACACACAGCACTGCTAACAGTGAAAAAGAAATGAGACATAGATCATAGCAGGACAAAACCAGCCTGGATGCACAGAACAGAGAGAGAAACACAAATGAGCGAGAGATGTGAATCGCCTCGGCCGCCGCAGCCCTTATTTCAGCGTTGCCATGGCGACTGTACATCGAGAGATGGCCGCCGACCGATCAATGTGTGTGCAAGATCCAAAATTACTGATCCTTAAATAATAATTTTTCCAGATGGACTGGAGTGGTGTGGATTATTGTGATGTTTTTATCAGCTGTTTGGACTCTCATTCTGACGGCACCCATTCACTTCAGAGCATCCATTGCTGAGACACTGATGCAATGCTACATTTCTCCAAATCTGATGAAGAAACAAACTCATCCTAATCTTTGGCAGCAAATAAACAAGATACCTTGGATACATTGGTATATTTGATTGTGCTTTCAGGATTATATTTTCTAGATATATCCACCCGTAAACCTGTATATGAGGAATGAGTCTATATGATATTGTGACTGTATTTCATTTGACTGAGGCTGCAGGTTTGAGCTCAAACCTCACACGAAACAGCAGTTTCGAGCCGTTCAGTTGCTCTTTCGTCTATGACAGTATTAGAGCCTGATGATCAATAGACGCATCAATAAACACAGAGATCATATTAGTATGAGCACTGACCTTCTTCACTGCAATTAAAATGCATTATCCTCTTGAGTGAATGTAAATGACAAACTAAATATGAATGTGAAGAGCGTGACGCAAATCTGATTTACTAACGTGAACCAATCAGCAGATGCAACAGTCGGAGAGTCATTTCATTATATAACAAGTTATATAATATTGTAAAACATGCTGATTGCAAGTAGTGTGTTTGTGTGTTTGGCTATGAGAAAACTTCTTTTTGTTGTGACCTTAGACTAAGCCAGTGCTGAAGCAGGAGTTTTCGGCTGTACTCTCCTCTCACCTCATTCTTGACCGTTACCCGGCGTGTGTTTCTCTGTAATGCCATCAGACTGAATCAGGTCTCTCTGTCACTAATTCTCCTGATGCCCCGTCTGTCTCTCTGCAGGTTCAGCTGACGTTACAGGAGACTGCCCCGCCCCTTTCATCTTGTCCGTTCCTCTGTCGTTGCCATGGCGCTGTCACTCTGGTTACTGTGGATGTGTCCTGTGTTGCTTAGCAACATCGCTCCCTCTGAACAAGGTGAGTTCTGCATCCTAAAACACCTGCCGTTCTGTCATGACCCAGACTCCGCCCCCTCAGAGCCCGGAGCAATTCTATTGGCTGAAAGAGCGTTTGATGTGTTTTATTCGGTGCATAAGTAAAAATCCTTCAATATCATGGGTTTAAACATATGAATATGACTAACATCACTATTTTATATTTTGAATACAACTTTTCAAGGGCTTAGCTTCAGTCGCTCTAATTTATTCCTCTGTAGATGCACCTGTTGAATATTAATAAATCACTGATTCTTGAGACGTGAGGCAGAATACAATATTATATATTGTATATAATTTATATGGAGCTTTATATAGATTACTATATATATTCAGATAGCTAGAAAGATAGACATATATTCAGATAGATTAATAGACAGAGAGACAGACGGACGGACGGACGGACGGACGGACGGACGGATGGACGGACAGATAGATAGATAGATATTCAGACAGACAGACAGATGTAAATGCAGGAAAGTGAGCACATCAAACATGATCACATGATCTTGTTGAGCCGCAGACAGATGTTGAGTGTGAGAGAGAAGCCCGTCAGGATGCTGTGTGTCTGTGATCATCAGGTCTGAGTCGAGCGGCGATGCCCTTCGGTCTGATGAGGAGAGAGCTGGCGTGTGAGGGATACCCCATCGAGCTGCGCTGCCCAGGAAGTGATGTCATCATGATCGAGACGGCCAACTACGGCCGCACCGACGACAAGATCTGCGACGCCGACCCCTTCCAGATGGAGAACGTGCAGTGCTACCAGCCAGACGCGTTCAAGATCATGTCACACAGGTACAGATCCAACACAAACTCGAGCATTCAGATCCAGATTCTGTCAGCTATTAATCACTGTAGGAAGAGTAACACTGGTGTGTTTTGTCAACTTGTATTTATTTATTCACTAATGCAAAATGACTCATTCAGCCAACAAATTCATCGAGGCAACTACAGATTTCTTGTTTAACTAACACAATAAATTGATCTGTAATTTTGGAAGCCATATATGTCTGCTTGTGTGAGTGAGTGAGTGAGTGAGTGAGTGAGTGAGTGTGTGTGTGTGTGTGTGTGTGTGTGTGTGTTTGATTTGGAAGGATTCTGTTGGTCTAAAATGGGTTTTCATGTAGTTTCTCAGTATTTGAGACTCAAAAGGTCCCAATAAATGGAAAATATATATTAGATTTTTTACAGTATACATATAATTTGGGACAAAACTGTCTCCAGAAGTGAGCTAAATCTGAGACAGCCTGTCTTTGGAGTAATGTGAGGATGTTCTCATTTCACAAAATGGTTTTACTATAAGTGAAAATAATGTGTTAGTCATAATGATTAGCTTTATGTAAAGACACTGTAAGTATATGATATGTGCTCATTTATCCTGAGTGAACACACACACACGTGTGTGTGAGCCTTTTGTGTACATAGAAAAAGTCTTAGATCTTTGAGTTCAGCTCATGAAAAATGGGGCGTTTATAATTTTGTTCAGTGTATATACACACACATATATATATATAAGAATTTATCTATATATATATATTAGCAAGCTCTTCAAGTATATTTATGATGATGCCAGACTTTTGTTTTCATTGTTTTGAGCTTTTTATTCAGTTTACTAAAGGTAGTAGAGAAATTTGTAATGGAAACATGTTTATATAAATACATACACACACACACACACACACACACACACAGACTGAACAGTTTTTATATAAAAAGACAAATGTATATAATAATTATAAAATGTGCTTTTAACATTATCATTTTGATTTTACACAGTATAAAATAAACAATGTCTTGTCAGAGATTTTTATATAAAAAATCAGCTTTTGCTTATTCTTTAGATGCTTTTTTTCATAGTATAAAAGGTCATTTATCTTTGCAAACATGAACAGACACAGTGAACATATGCTGTGTTTTTAGCATTATTTGCAGTAGTTTTCTGCTGCCTCGGTCGTACAGGCGCACCTGCTCTAATGAAGAGTAAGAAAGTATAAACCAGGCTTTTCTGTTCTCGTCTCCTCTCTTCTGCTGTCATCACTCCTGTCTTCACCTCCTCCCTGTGTTTGCGTTCTTCCTCCCTCAGTCGCTCCTCTCTCCACTCCTCCAGTGGGTGTAGTGCTGTTGGGCTGGGGTGTGTTTTCTGTCTCCTCCTGCAGGGCGGCGCTGGAGTCACTCTCGTCTGTGTTTGCTCTTTCAGTGCGGAGCGACGCGCGGCTAACAGACTCACTCATTCACCCGCTCATTCATTGATTCCCTTCTTCTGTTTGCAGTGCATCATGAGACGCTGCTCGTTCCTCATTGCAGCTGAACTGCAGCTCAAAATAAAGTGTGATGAAATTTTGATTGCTGGTGCGAAATTAAAGACGTAATTTTTTTAGGTTCCTCATGCACAGGGGGTTTGCTGAGCGCTGCACACTGACGCTTTCATTTCTGCCTTTATACAGGATCATCACGTCACCGACGTGTGTGTGTGTGTGTGTTTGCATGAGTTTCCTCCGTCTGAAGGGACCTGACTGTGTGTCACGCTGCTGAACCTCTAGAGGAAACCTGTGTGTTTGTGTTGGACTTTCTCTCGCATGTAAAGGCCTATTCACACCGTTGTTGGATGTTGTTGTGCTCAGTCAGTGTTATTATCATTAACTCAAGCTGAAACTAAAACTAGTAAAAACATTTACGTTAAGTGAGATAAAAGAAATGATGTTTGAAATAAAATAAAATATAGACAAACTTTCGGTTATATTTTCAATAGATATTTCTAAGCATTTTAATTTAATTTAAGTTGAAGTAATGAAATGACTAAAACTAAAACTGAAAATATCTAAACTGAGATAAAGAAAATAATAAAAACTAAATTGACATTAAAATGACAAACTTAAACTTAAAACTCAAATTGAATCACTAAAACTGAAAATAACTAAAATATAAGATAAAAAATAATAAAAAATTACTAAAACAAAGCACATTAAATTATTGAAAATAAAAAATGGAAATAACTAAACAAATACTAAGATAAAAATAATAAAAATGCTAAATAGACATTTAAAAATACTAAAATTGACAAAATCACAAAACTAAACTTGAATTAAAGTTAAAGTGAAATTACTAGAACTAAAACTTAAAATAACTACACTAAAACTGAGAAATATTGAAAATTAAATAGCTAATTAAACAAACAAAAAAGAAAGCTAATGAACCTGTCAAAAACACAACAGAATTAGTAGGCTTAAACTAAATAATGATACTAAAATTACTGTGCACAATAATATGCAGCAAAATGAATTCAGAAAACAGCACAACCATCAGTGCCTTTCATAGACCATTAATGGATTTTAAAATGGATACAACATAATAAAAGTATGCAGTGTTCAATTACAGCAAATTCATTAGCTGGCCTCCCTGATCGAGGACACAGTGCCTGACACGCAGCAGTAATGAATGCTCTGTTTATTGCACAACAACAGCTTTTATGATTCTGTGTGTCGATCTAATGCATGTTTGATCATGTTCCTGAAGGAATGAGGGAAGCAAATGAATTGAATGTAGTTGATGAGTTTGTCATTTCCGGCTGTGGTGTGAATAGGTCTGTGTGAATGTGACTGTCTCTAATAATCTCCTGTTCTCCGCAGCCACCGAGCTGAATGTGTGGGTTTGTTTGGGTGGGGGGCGGGTGGAGGGATGGAGAGTGGACAGAGTGATCGAGGACAGATAGAAGAACGCCTAATGAACATTCATAATGCTTCAGATTATTAAATCCATCACACCAGCAATTGGTGGTGTTTGAGGCGTAGCTAGTTCCTGTCCCTTACCCTACCATACCATCAGTCTCCTTCTCTCTCTCTCGCTCGCTCTCCCTCTCCTTCTCTCTCTCTCTCTCTCTCGCTCTCTCTCTCTCTCTCTCTCTCTCTCTCTCTCTCTCTCTCCCTCTCTCTCTCTCTCTCGCTCTCCCTCTCCTTCTCTCTCTCTCTCTCTCTCGCTCTCCCTCTCCGTCTCTCTCTCTATCTCTCTCTCTCTCTTTCCGTTGCAATATTTTCACCTTTCCGCTCTCTTTTGTCTTTCTCCCTCATGTGTTTCTCCTTCTGTGTCATGTCTAATAAATTTCACTTGACCTTTAAGCTTGAAAAGAAATGGAAGACTCTGCTGTTGAACTGAAAATTCTCTTTTTTCTCTCTTCTGTGCACCTTCTGCCTGTCTCTTTCTCTCTCTCTCTCTCTCTTCATTTATACCTCTCTCCCCTTCTCTATTTCAACGCTTGAATAGAAGTGGACCAAAAAGGTAAAGACCATGTTAACGCCGCAGTTCCTCTCTCCTGTCTCTCCTCATCTTGTCTCTCTCTTTCTCTCTCTCTTTTCTCCCTGGCCCTTGTGATGTGCTCTAGTTTGATGCAGCTCCTTCATTTTCCTCCTTCTCTTGTTCACGCACCTTACAAACACCAGGAAGAACCTCCTCTCTCTCTCTCTCTATCTCTCTCTCACACACACACACACACTTGTTTTCCGCTCTCCCTTTTGATTTGCTTGCTGTTCGAAGCTCATTTATCCTCAGATCCAAACGACACACACGTCTCTGTTCATCCCTTTGCTTCCCTCAGGACCGACCTGTTGTCATTTGTTTAGCATTTTAAAAGAAAACTCCTCCTTCTCTTTTAGTAACTGTGCACATGCCGTGTTCCTGAAGAGCTTGACCTGAGTGTGTGGTGTGAAGTGATTGACAGTTCTCCCAGCCAATCCCTGTCCTCTGTGTGAACTAACCCGCATCTCATTGGCTCCAAAGGTTCCTGTAGCCCCGCCCCCTCTCTCATGTGACTCTACCTCAAAAACCAAAACTGAAATGTAGCAAATCAGTTTATGACAGCAAACAAACAATCTATCTATCTATCTATATCTATCTATCTATTGATCTATCTATCTATCGTCTATCTATCTATCTATCTATCTATCGTCTGTTTGTCTATCTATCTATCTATCGTCTGTTTGTCTATCTATCTATCTATCGTCTGTTTGTCTATCTATCTATCTATCGTCTGTTTGTCTATCTATCTATCTATCGTCTGTTTGTCTATCTATCTATCTATCGTCTGTTTGTCTATCTATCTATCTATCGTCTGTTTGTCTATCTATCTATCTATCGTCTGTTTGTCTATCTATCTATCTATCTATCTATCTATCTATCTATCTATCTATCTAACTATCGTCTATCTGTCTATCTATCTATCTATCTATCTATCTATTGATCTATCTATCTATCTATCTATCTATCTGTCGTCTGTTTGTCTATCTATCTATCTATCTATCTAACTGTCTGTCTGTATGTCTCTCTGTCTATCTATCTATCTATCTGTCTGTCTGTCTTTGTCTTTCTACCTATCTTTGCTTGCACACACTCTATAATGACAATGTATTTTCATCTTTTTAGAATGAAATCTCTCTTTCTCACACACACAGGCAATCATGATTCAGCAATAGGTAGTGTAAGACGTGTGTGCGTGTGTGTGTGTGTGTGTGTGTGTGTGTGTGTGTGCGTGCATGCGTGCATGTGTGTGTGAGTGTGTGTGTATAAAATAGATCTGTTCGCTAGACCTATTCTTTATTAGTCTAATACAATCTACTCCTCTACACCTGCTCATGTCTATTATCACTCTCTCTTTCTCCATCTCCAGTTTTTGTTTGTCCTGGAACGTTAATGCGAGTGTTGGAGCCCAGTTCTGTGCGGGAGGCGGAGCATCAGTCGGGGGCATGGTGTAAAGACCCTCTGCAAGCGGGTGATAGGCTCTATGTTATGCCCTGGACGCCCTATCGCACAGATATGCTGTACGAATACGCTTCCTGGGACGACTACATCCAAAACCGAGTCACCACCACCTATAAGTGAGTTTGTGTTTATAAGTTTATTAGTGAGTTACAAGTTGAGCGTTATATGAGTGTTATAATAACATTTCTGTGTGACGTACAGGTTGCCGAGTCGAGTTGACGGCACTGGTTTTGTTGTGTATGATGGGGCTGTGTTCTATAACAAGGAACGCACACGCAACATTGTGAAATACGACCTGCGGACTCGCATCAAGAGCGGTGAAGCTATTATTGCAACCGCCAACTATCATGACACATCGCCGTACCGCTGGGGCGGGAAATCCGACATCGACCTAGCAGTGGACGAACACGGGCTTTGGGTCATATATGCCACTGAAGCCAACAGCGGACGCCTCGTTGTTAGCCAGGTGAGAAAGTGTTTTAAAATGTACTTCCTGTTTATGTCTTGCTGCATCGTTCTGATTGGCTGCTTTCCAATTGTTCCGTAATCCGATTGGCTTGTATCTCAGGTGAACCCGTACACGCTGAGGTTTGAGGGGACGTGGCAGACAAGCTTTGAGAAGCGCATGGCGTCAGATGCGTTCGTGGCGTGTGGCATCTTGTACGCCGTTCGTTCCGTGTACCAGGACGATGACAGCGAGGTGGGTGGAGACCTGATCCTGTACGCCTACGACACGCGACGTAACCACGAGGAGCCGGTGAGAATCCCGTTCCCCAACCCATACCAGCACATCTCCTCCATCAGCTACAACCCCAGAGACAACCAGCTGTACGTCTGGAACAACTACATCGTCCTGCGGTACCCGCTGGAGTTCAGCCCGCCGCAGCCCACCACAGGTGAGCATTTTAATGGCTCAGAGGCTGCTCTTTCATTTCTCAGGAGACTTAAAGGAGTTCTGAGTTATCTGTTAAGTATCAGCTTGAGCCAAATGAGTCAGTAGTTGTCAAAAATCATTTATTGCTCAGAGGTTGGTCTTTTAAAGCTCATGAGTTTTACTGGAAATCTCAGTTGTTTCATTTAAGTGCTCGATTTGTCTGTGTTGTTTAAGTATCAACTTTGTCTCAATTGTTTCTCCTAAAATAAAATCGTACCCAAATGAGTCAATCGTCATACAGTAGTAATAATTCAGAGCTGTAAAATGAATGTTGAGAAGCAGCTCAGATCATTTGATCTTTGATGAGAAATGTTTGAGTTCATACTGAGACTTTATGAAAATATGTTGAGATCTCTTCCAAATATCATAGTTTTCCCGAGAGATTTCTCAGATCATTTGATCTTTAGAGAGTTTTGTGAGAAATGTTTGAGTAAATATTGAGATCTCTGACTTTTGATTGATAGATTCCAAATACTGTCAAATAGGAGAACGGTTTGAGGTTTGCTTGCAGTCTCTTCCAAATCTCATTGTTTTCCCAGGAGAAAAATTTGAGAAGCACCTCAGATAATTGGATTTCATTTGATGAGTTTTTCGAGAAATATTTGAGTTCATGTTGACGTCTGTGACTTGAGATCGTGAACCTTGGCAAATCCAAGCATGGTTGTAGATGTGGTTGAGATCTCTTCCAAATCTCATTGTTTTCTCAGGAGAAAAATCGGAGAAGCAGCTCAGATCTTTTGATCTTCAGAGAATTTTCGAGAAATATTTGAGTTCATATTGAGATCTCTGACTTTACATTTCAAATCATGGCAGATCTGAGCACAGTTTGAGACGTGGCTGAGATCTCTTCCAAGTCTCATCATTTAAAAAATCGGTGAAGCAGCTCGGATCATTTGATCTTTACAGAATTTTGTGAGAAATGTTTGAGTAAATATTAAGATCTCTGACTTTTGATTGCAAATCCAAGCATGGTTGTAGATGTGGTCGAGATCTCTTCCAAATCTCATTGTTTTCTCAGGAGAAAAATCGGAGAAGCAGCTCAGATCTTTTGATCTTCAGAGAATTTTGTGAGAAATGTTTGAGCTCATACTGAGATCTCTGACTTTACATTTCAAATCTTGGCAGATCTGAGCCCAGTTTGAGACGTGGCTGAGATCTCGTCCGAGTCTCGTCATTTTCTCATTTTAAAAATCGGTGAAGCAGCTGAGATCATTTGATCTTCAGTCAATTTTGTGACTTTAGATTGCAAATCTGAGCACGGTTTAAGATATTTAAATTAAAAAAATGGAAAAAGCAGGACACTTTTGTATTCAGAACCATTACGTTTATTACAAAATACAGGAACTGATTTTTATGATTCCCATCACATTTATGCTAAAGTCTCCATTTGCTCTGTTTAATCTCTTTGCACGTTTGTGTGTTTATCTCCTCTCAGATCCTCTCTCGACGCCTCTTCTCTCCACCACTCCTCCGAGCGCGCTCTCCACCACCGTGTCGATGGGCTTCAGTCCCACTTCCATCCCGTCTGTGACCTTCCACCCTGTGGGGTCTATAAACAGGGCTCCGGCGGGGCGACCCATCACAGCCACGATCCCGGTGACCGTCAGGCCTCCCCGCCGACCGCAGGGGCCGCGCACACCCATGTGTGAGGGCCGCGTGACCCGCGGGGTCCAGTGGCCCCCAACTCATCGAGGAGAAACGGTGGAGAGGCCGTGTCCCAAAGGATCCCTCGGTCAGTAGGGGCTTGTGTGTGTGCTGTTGTTTCGGGACTACATCCAAAACCGAGTCACCACCACCTATAAGTGAGTTTGTGTTTATAAGTTTATTAGTGAGTTACAAGTTGAGCGTTATATGAGTGTTATAATAACATTTCTGTGTGACGTACAGGTTGCCGAGTCGAGTTGACGGCACTGGTTTTGTTGTGTATGATGGGGCTGTGTTCTATAACAAGGAACGCACACGCAACATTGTGAAATACGACCTGCGGACTCGCATCAAGAGCGGTGAAGCTATTATTGCAACCGCCAACTATCATGACACATCGCCGTACCGCTGGGGCGGGAAATCCGACATCGACCTAGCAGTGGACGAACACGGGCTTTGGGTCATATATGCCACTGAAGCCAACAGCGGACGCCTCGTTGTTAGCCAGGTGAGAAAGTGTTTTAAAATGTACTTCCTGTTTATGTCTTGCTGCATCGTTCTGATTGGCTGCTTTCCAATTGTTCCGTAATCCGATTGGCTTGTATCTCAGGTGAACCCGTACACGCTGAGGTTTGAGGGGACGTGGCAGACAAGCTTTGAGAAGCGCATGGCGTCAGATGCGTTCGTGGCGTGTGGCATCTTGTACGCCGTTCGTTCCGTGTACCAGGACGATGACAGCGAGGTGGGTGGAGACCTGATCCTGTACGCCTACGACACGCGACGTAACCACGAGGAGCCGGTGAGAATCCCGTTCCCCAACCCATACCAGCACATCTCCTCCATCAGCTACAACCCCAGAGACAACCAGCTGTACGTCTGGAACAACTACATCGTCCTGCGGTACCCGCTGGAGTTCAGCCCGCCGCAGCCCACCACAGGTGAGCATTTTAATGGCTCAGAGGCTGCTCTTTCATTTCTCAGGAGACTTAAAGGAGTTCTGAGTTATCTGTTAAGTATCAGCTTGAGCCAAATGAGTCAGTAGTTGTCAAAAATCATTTATTGCTCAGAGGTTGGTCTTTTAAAGCTCATGAGTTTTACTGGAAATCTCAGTTGTTTCATTTAAGTGCTCGATTTGTCTGTGTTGTTTAAGTATCAACTTTGTCTCAATTGTTTCTCCTAAAATAAAATCGTACCCAAATGAGTCAATCGTCATACAGTAGTAATAATTCAGAGCTGTAAAATGAATGTTGAGAAGCAGCTCAGATCATTTGATCTTTGATGAGAAATGTTTGAGTTCATACTGAGACTTTATGAAAATATGTTGAGATCTCTTCCAAATATCATAGTTTTCCCGAGAGATTTCTCAGATCATTTGATCTTTAGAGAGTTTTGTGAGAAATGTTTGAGTAAATATTGAGATCTCTGACTTTTGATTGATAGATTCCAAATACTGTCAAATAGGAGAACGGTTTGAGGTTTGCTTGCAGTCTCTTCCAAATCTCATTGTTTTCCCAGGAGAAAAATTTGAGAAGCACCTCAGATAATTGGATTTCATTTGATGAGTTTTTCGAGAAATATTTGAGTTCATGTTGACGTCTGTGACTTGAGATCGTGAACCTTGGCAAATCCAAGCATGGTTGTAGATGTGGTTGAGATCTCTTCCAAATCTCATTGTTTTCTCAGGAGAAAAATCGGAGAAGCAGCTCAGATCTTTTGATCTTCAGAGAATTTTCGAGAAATATTTGAGTTCATATTGAGATCTCTGACTTTACATTTCAAATCATGGCAGATCTGAGCACAGTTTGAGACGTGGCTGAGATCTCTTCCAAGTCTCATCATTTAAAAAATCGGTGAAGCAGCTCGGATCATTTGATCTTTACAGAATTTTGTGAGAAATGTTTGAGTAAATATTAAGATCTCTGACTTTTGATTGCAAATCCAAGCATGGTTGTAGATGTGGTCGAGATCTCTTCCAAATCTCATTGTTTTCTCAGGAGAAAAATCGGAGAAGCAGCTCAGATCTTTTGATCTTCAGAGAATTTTGTGAGAAATGTTTGAGCTCATACTGAGATCTCTGACTTTACATTTCAAATCTTGGCAGATCTGAGCCCAGTTTGAGACGTGGCTGAGATCTCGTCCGAGTCTCGTCATTTTCTCATTTTAAAAATCGGTGAAGCAGCTGAGATCATTTGATCTTCAGTCAATTTTGTGACTTTAGATTGCAAATCTGAGCACGGTTTAAGATATTTAAATTAAAAAAATGGAAAAAGCAGGACACTTTTGTATTCAGAACCATTACGTTTATTACAAAATACAGGAACTGATTTTTATGATTCCCATCACATTTATGCTAAAGTCTCCATTTGCTCTGTTTAATCTCTTTGCACGTTTGTGTGTTTATCTCCTCTCAGATCCTCTCTCGACGCCTCTTCTCTCCACCACTCCTCCGAGCGCGCTCTCCACCACCGTGTCGATGGGCTTCAGTCCCACTTCCATCCCGTCTGTGACCTTCCACCCTGTGGGGTCTATAAACAGGGCTCCGGCGGGGCGACCCATCACAGCCACGATCCCGGTGACCGTCAGGCCTCCCCGCCGACCGCAGGGGCCGCGCACACCCATGTGTGAGGGCCGCGTGACCCGCGGGGTCCAGTGGCCCCCAACTCATCGAGGAGAAACGGTGGAGAGGCCGTGTCCCAAAGGATCCCTCGGTCAGTAGGGGCTTGTGTGTGTGCTGTTGTTTCGGGAGGGGGGGGGGTTCATGTGTGTGTTCACACTACAGATGAGTCAGTGCTAAAATAAACGATTCAGTGGGTGTGTTTCAGCTAACTGTAAAAATATTTTCTTCCATTTATAAATGTTTTTAGCAGCAACATTGTTTGGTTGTTTAATGGTCATAACAGCAGACTGTTGGCCTGATAAACATGCCGATGCCTTGTGTTTGTAGCTTTCCCATTTTTTTCTATATGTAATGCACTTAAGTAGTTTAATTTCACATTTGATGACGTCTTTTTATTCTAGTATCGTGTCTCTAGTGGATGGGTTTGTATTTTTGTTTCGGGAGGGGGGGGGGGTTCATGTGTGTGTTCACACTACAGATGAGTCAGTGCTAAAATAAACGATTCAGTGGGTGTGTTTCAGCTAACTGTAAAAATATTTTCTTCCATTTATAAATGTTTTTAGCAGCAACATTGTTTGGTTGTTTAATGGTCATAACAGCAGACTGTTGGCCTGATAAACATGCCGATGCCTTGTGTTTGTAGCTTTCCCATTTTTTTCTATATGTAATGCACTTAAGTAGTTTAATTTCACATTTGATGACGTCTTTTTATTCTAGTATCGTGTCTCTAGTGGATGGGTTTGTATAATATATTACTGCATGCCGCTGAACTCTCGGTGAACTCGCCTCTGGACAGTTGTGAGGCGTTTGATGGCTTCTGATTTTCATAATCTTTGTTGTAGTCATTTGTACAAAAGCCCCAAGATACAAAATCAGTTTTTAAATGTATTTAGCATTAATATTAGAGGCAAGTAGTCATTACCATCAGTGTTTAGACTTGATCATACAGATTACACCAAGGCACTTGAAGGTCACATGCTAATGCTAGCTTTAAAGCCACACTCTCATGCAGAGGAAAACGTCATCTAAAACTAATTTAAATGCCATTTTCTAATTCCATTATAATTATTACACATGCAGTTTTCATAAACTCAAATTCATTGAGAGACTACATGAAAATGTTGACTTATAAAAATCCATTTGTTACACAGCGGGACCACGGAAATGAAATATTTTTAAAAATGACAGAAAATGATTAACAAAACTAAATGAAATAATGACCATTCTGTTTCCTACCTAAAATCTCGATGTTGAAAAAATAAGTGTGCATCCATTAGTCAACTTCTGCATGTTGTCAACCGTTGAATGTTGCCAGAAAATCTCCACACCCTTCATGTGTGCATTTTATGGACCAGAATGTTTTCTGAGTGTGATGTTCCTGTTTGCGGTGCTTTCCACTGACGTGTGTTGTGTTATAAGGTCAGATGTTTCTTCACAGCTTCACAGTAGTCTTTCCAATGGTTTAACTTGATCGTGTTTTGTTTTGGGATGTTTTGATTATTTCTACAGGAATCCCTCTTATCTGTTTCCTTTTCCTACAGCGTCACCTGATTCTGATTGTGTTTTTTCCTGTCTTACTCATTCTGCCTGCTCTCTGTCCATCATTCAGGTATCGCGTCGTATCAGTGTATAACAGACGATGTGGTGTGGAACCCCAGAGGTCCCGACCTCAGCAACTGCACCTCGCCCTGGGTCAGCCAGGTCGCTCAAAAGGTCAGAGGTCAGGGGTTATCAGAAGGATAAACGGATGCAGATAGATAGATAGATAGATAGATGATGGATGGATGGATGAACAGATATTTGATGTGTCTCTCTTCTTTCTGTAGATTAAGAGCGGGGAGAACGCAGCACATACCGCTTCTGTACTTGTCAATCACACTCGGGGGCGGGTCTATGCCGGTGATGTCACTTCCTCTGTGCGTCTGATGGAGCAGCTGCTGGACATTCTGGACTCACAGCTGCAGGCGCTGCGACCCGGAAACAAGGAGTCGGCCACACGCAACTACAACAAGGTGTTGCATACAACAACAACACACACACACACACACTCACACACTCACACTCACACTCACACACTCACACACACACTCACACTCACACACACACTCACACTCACACACACACTCACACTCACACACACACTCACACTCACACACACACTCACACTCACACACACACTCACACTCACACACACACTCACACTCACACACACACTCACACTCACACACACACTCACACTCACACACACACTCACACTCACACACACACTCACACTCACACACACACTCACACTCACACACACACTCACACTCACACACACACTCACACTCACACACACACTCACACTCACACACACACTCACACTCACACACACACTCACACTCACACACACACTCACACTCACACACACACTCACACTCACACACACACTCACACTCACACACACACTCACACTCACACACACACTCACACTCACACACACACTCACACTCACACACTCACACTCACACTCACACACTCACACACACACTCACACTCACAGTCACACGCACACATGCACACACTCACACACACACTCACACTCACACTCACACACAAACACACACACACACACACATAAACAACTATTAGAGAAACACTGTTTTGTTTGTGTCTTTTAGCTTCAGAAGAGAGAACGGACTTGTCGAGCGTTTATTCAGGTAATCACACAGCACACAGTTGTGCAAACCTGCGTGTCTCTGTGTATGCCGCTCACGTGTGTGTGTGTGTGTGTGTGTGTGTG